GTGGAATAATATACCCCAAACAAGTAAAAATAACAGATGAAAATAATGCTATTGGAAATGTTTTTTTTGGATTTTCAACTTCTCCTGCCATAGTACTAACATTATCCCAAAAATTTAAATTCCAAAAAAGGGTATTAAAAAATAAATTCCAATCTTTTTTCACACCCTTTTGACCTAAACTTATCCATCTATGAGGATGAATTTTTGGTATAGCAATTAATGACATTATAATAAAAGGTGCAAGTGAAATAACACCAAGTACAACTGCAACATACCCTACAATTGTTAAACCAGTATAGTTAACAAAACTTAAAAATAGTGTTGACCCAAGAATTGCTAATTTTCTTGAAACCCCAGATGAAAGAACAGGAAAAATATTTTCTAAATAACTAATACATAAAACTGGAAAAGAAGCAATATTTATAACACCAGTTAAGAATTTCCATGTTCCCATTAATGAACCCCAAAAAGGACCAAAAGCTTTATCAGCCCATATAACAAAACCACCATTACCAGGAAAAGTTGTTGAAAGTTCAGCTGTAATTAAAGCCTCAGGAACACTCCAAATAAATGGAAAAATTAAAAAACCAAGAATTGCTAATAAAGGACCAGCTGCTTTAACTGCTGGTTCTTCACCATATGGACCACCAGCTACTTCAAAATATATGAGGAAAATTAAAGGGATGAGTGTGAGTTTATGGTTTTTTGTGGTGGTGGTGGTGGTTATAGGGTGGTCTTGGGTGGTTTGTGGTGGTTCTGTGGTGGCTGTTGTAATGGTGGAAGGATGTGATTCAATCTTCTGTGCCATTTTTGGCTAGCTTTGGTTTAGGTGGTGAAGTAATTGATCAAACAGGTTTTTTGTAGCTGGACTAGTAATGTATAAGAGTATTATATAAGCATTGACTACTTAGAACTAAAGTGTGCGTACACATTACCTTATCTAGATCCCACATGTAGAAATATTTATTGTTGTTATTATATAAGCATTGAATCTTTGAAGTTTGGTATTTTCAATGATCATAAAAATTTACCCGCATCCAATGTTTATACTAATAAATAAACGGAAGATATATGTATCTCGTAGATTTTTTAAATATTTAAACATAAAAAGATCAGTCCAGTACACTAAGCTCCCGCTATGCACAGGGTCCGGGGAAGGGCCGGACCACAAGGGTCTATAGTACGCAGTCTTACCCTGCATTTCTGCAAGAGGATGTTTCCACGGCTTGAACCCGTGACCTCCTGGTCACATGCAACAACTTTACTAGTTATGCCAAGGCTCCCCTTCAAAATATTTAAACATCTCTACAGATATTCTCGGTATAATACTCCATCTATTTATTTTTAGTCGTACACTTTAGACTTTCACGCACATTAAGAAATAATAAAGTATTTTATAATTTTATCCGTAATAATAATCGTATTTTCAAAAATCCTGAAAAATGATTTGAGGAATGATTAGTTAATGATAAGGCTAAAACAGAAAAGAAAAAAAAAATTGTGAAACAAAAGTGAAGGTAAATCTTGTGTGTCATTTGGGTAGAGCTTTGGTTTAGGTGGTGAAATAATTGAGCAAACACGTTTCTTGGAGCTAAACTAGCAATATATATATATATAATAAATTAGTAATAAAATATTACAAGTGGAGAGTCTTAGTTGTAAGTTTGATATTTCCGAGAATCATTTAAAGCCAGTAGGCAATAAGGTGGATATAGTCCACCTTCCCCCCAAGCCCCACCCCCTTTCTTTAGTAAGCAAATTCATGATTGGAAGTTTATTCATTTTGATTTACCTATTACAAATATTGAGTCTAAACAAAACTTCCTGAGCTTGTCTGAATCATTACCTAATACTCTGCTCTATTGCGGGGATGCGTTCGGAACTCAATTGTGGTTTTTTTGGATTTACAATACCCAAATAAGTGTAAAAGAAACTTGGTGACCAAAGTATATAAAGCGCGCTTTCAAACCGCGCTTTACTTTAACGTCCCAAACGGACGTTAAGGTAAAGCGCGTTTCAAAATCACGTTTTATATAAAACGCCTTTTTAAACCACGCTTTACTTATTTTGTGGGTCCACCAATAACTCTTCTGTGCTAATTGACATAACAATAACTCAAATGAGTAAAATGCCCTTTTAAAAAGCGTTTTACTTCAAAAACTTCGACCCCCCGGATTGGGCATTGCCTTATTTAAAGGCGTTAAAAGTTTTGCAAAAATTCATTCATTGCAAAAATTCATTCAAAAATAATCTCAACTCCTGATAAATTTTTCTTCTTGTTAAATTCTCAAGCTTTTTT